ATTTTTTTTATTTTTATATATATATATATATAGTTTATTTATTATTTTTTTTTGTTTGTTTATTTATTATTATTATTATTTTTGTTTATTGTTTATTGTTTATTATTATATTTATATATTGTTTAATTTAAAAAAAAAATGGCCGAAATAAATGCTTATCAAAGAATCTTGGAAGATTTGCGACAATTACAACCAACCGAAATTGTGGCATATCCGCCACCTTATACGATTACCGCAGGCTTGGAAGAAAAATTTGATTTAATCAATGCTGCCATAGAAAGGTCCAAGCGCATTGATGACCGAATATTAATGCTAGCAAATGTCTACTATTTAGGACATTTTCTGGAAGTAGAAATTCGGGATAATACAAGACGCGGTCAATTTCTACAACAATTATCTATACATTTCCGGACGATTGCTATCCGAACTTATTATATATTTGAGGTCTCCGGAGTTGAACAGATTATGAGAACAACCCATACAACCCCCACTATGATCCGGAAGCTCAGTACGGCAGAATATAAGGATTTGGTCTTTAAATCCATCGAAATTTTCAACGGGATTGAAAATCTGGGAGGGAGTGGTGTTAATCGAATAATCACATGACCGGCGATCATGTTACGAATGTTACGAATGTTACGAATGTTGCAAATGTTACGAATGTTTAATATGTTTAACATGTTAAACATATGCAACATATTAAATATATAACACATATTTAACATATTACATTTGTTAAATATATAGCATTTATTTAATATTCTTAACATGATTAGCATAGAATTTATTGTTATAAATACATGCGTTCTAAATCAATGTAATAATAGATAATTCTGTTATATTTTAATAAAAAGCATTTATTAAATAAATTATCTCATTGTTTATTTTATAGTTTGTTATATTTGTGAGTCAGTATTTGCGTCTGAGTGTATATGCCCGTGTGTGCAATACCGTATTCTCATTTGACTGAAATTTCATTTTATTTTATTGTGTAACCTTCGTAAATCGATCGACAGTGATACATTTACTAATAATTTCATATAGTTTATTTCACTTTGCGTTCATTAACATTATTTAATATTTATTTTATTCATAATCCTTCTGCTTACCATACACCCATACGCTTATTTTTATAAGCATACAAGAACTGGCATAACAATACGACGTGGAATAACTTTTTGTGAGGAAAAAAAATGCTGAAGACCTTTGCTAATTTGATATTTGGCGTTCGGTAGTGCGCTTGTGGAATGATACTTAATAGGGGTAGTTGACATGAGATAATCATTTGTGTGTATCTGTAAATGAAGTTGATTGGTGTCCAAATGGTGATCAACAATCTCAAAAAAGAAACTTTTTGAATGTCTAAATTCGTAAATCTTGTTATAACCGGCTTTGTGTATTCTGGTCACGTGAAATTTTTTAAAAGAAATGAGAAAAGAATTATCGACATTAGGTGGAGTCGTTGTTGAAGAAATGGGAGATATAGAAGAAAAATCTTTTAATGGATAACCATCATTATTATTATATGGAGAAACTTGAGAATCAATGTCTGTAGTTGAATAAGGAGAACTATCTTGTGAAAATGAAGGGTCATCTATACGAATAAACGCGTGTGTTGATGAAGATGAAGACCAGTCTATTACTATAGAATTTGAAGAAGTCATATTCCCTTGGGTGTGGGTAAAATACTAACTAAAAACCTCGTATTCAACCAGAGGCGCCCTCTTGGGCCTCTTCCCCTTTAGCGTTTCAAATCAAAACTGAAAAAAACTAACTAGCGCAAAAATTACTGCGGAAAATTAACAAAATGTAAAAAAAGGGGAAAGAGTTTTTTTTCCAAGGTTTCAAAATAAACTTTAGCCGAAATTTATTGCAATAAACCATAAAATTCCACGTGACCAAATTTATATACATTTCAAATACTAAGAATTGCAAAATATATGAATTAAGAAATACTGAAATACATACAAAATGAAACAATTTTGCTATATTTTTTGCATATATCAATAATATATATATTTTATTAGTAGTTTATTTCAGTATATAAAATTAAATATCTGATATGTTATTTATATTACAAAAATATTTGTTAAATCATTAGTAATTTGGAAATTAGAATATATTAGTGATATGTTTAACGTATTTTATGAAAATCAAAAGATTCAGCAAAGTAATTATAATTACAATACTTAGTATATTATTGTGTTTATTTGATTTACCAGTATTTTCAAAATTGACCAGTAAAATTTAATCCTTTATTTTAAACTATTTATTTGCACAAATACGTCAACGAAATTTACACTATAAGTAACTTAAGATTTTCACTAAAAAAAAATCGATCATTGATCAGTTCATGTCTGACAATATAATCAGACGCATGGTCTTCTAATGTTTAATAGGGTTCCTTGCCTTTATCATATTTGTCTTTTACTTCCCAGATCCTCGGCTTTTCTTACTTTGCCTAATATTAGTCATCTTACTCGCTTAATTTACTTTATTTTCTCTAGAGGTAACATCCGCCGCATGTATGGACATATTTTTTTTGTCTATAGGTTGTAGTTTTTTTAGACTGGTGGAATTATTTCTAAGTTAATGTCTAAATTAATCATAATACTGCTAGCTTTCATATTGACCAATTATTTTTTTATTATAATTTTTTTTCTTTTTTTTATGAAAAAGTGCGTTTTTGGAGATCTAAAGGAAATTCCAAACTTGTAATTTTAATTTTAATTTTCTAAAAATGATTGATTTTCCAGGTAAACAGGAAGTAATTCCATGGAATAAGTAAAGTATTAAGCTAGTATAACCTTTTATGTATAATCTAAACGTTAAGGTGCTATGGAATCATATTGAGACACTAAAAGTGATTATTTTTTTTTCTTTAAAATCCGAAAGATAAAATGTTGTAAGTAAAAATTTCAACTGATCAGCGAATGATTACCTCACTAATTCAGTACACGTGATTTAAGTCAGATTTTTTGTCTAAATAATCGACCTGCATGCACATGTGTGTAATTTGTTTAATTTGCGTAATTTGTGTAATTGTATACCTAAATTAAATAAAAACTTTTTCCTCTTCTTTTCGTACTCGGATAAATATAACTTTTCCATAACAATATTATATACATATTCAAAATGTCTGAAATGAACGAATGGGTTAAATGGATTGATGAAGCTATTGCTAAAAAGCATATTAAGCATTACGAGTATAAATATTTTAAACATATTCAAGAAATTGGCACTGGTGGTTTCGGAAAGGTTTATCGTGCGAAATGGAAAAATTCATATCAATATTTTGCGTTAAAATCTCTTCTTAATATTGAAGAGGATGCTATTAAGGAACTTGTTCATGAGGTGAATATAAAATATGCATATTATAAACTTATTTATATATTATTTCTGATTTAAAAATTTATTTTATGTATAATTTATTTAGATTGAGCTTCAACGTGAAGTTACTTTCCATAATAACGTTATTAGCTTTCATGGAGTTACTATTTCAGATCAAGGTAATAAATAAAATGTTTTTTTTTTTAGAAAAATAATGTATGTTATTATATTACAATAAATTTAAAATTTATCTTTTTTTTAGAGAATCAAAGTAACAACATTAAGAAATATCTTTTAGTGATGGAGTACGCTGATGGTGGTTCGCTTAGCAAGTATTTGAAAGAAAATTTTGAGAAACTTACATGGGAAGTTAAACTTAATCTTGCTTACCAATTGGCTAGTGCCGTATCATGCTTGCATGATGAAGACATAATACATCGTGATTTGGTAATTTATCAAATTTATTGATGAAATAATAATCATATAAATTATATTATTTTTACTATAACAATTTATATTTTATTTCTTTTATTATAGCATTCTAATAATGTATTAGTCAATCAAAATACTATTAAATTGGCGGATTTCGGATTGTCAAAGAGAATCGAAGCGTCAACTAAAAAGAAAAAAGATTTATTTGGTATAGTTCCTTATATGGATCCAAAAAAATTCAGCAATAGATCATATTCTTTAAACAAGAAGAGTGACGTATACAGTGTAGGCGTACTTTTATGGGAGATATCAAATGGTAAGCCACCTTTTTATGTAGAAGGAGAGTCGTATGATTGTAGTTTAGCCTTCCAAATTGTGCAAGGTCATAGAGAAACTACTGTTCCTGATACTCCCATTGAATATGTTAAGCTTTATACTGGTAAGTTAACACTTTTTTATTTATTTTTAAAAATAGTATTATAATTGAAAATTTGGATTTTTTTTTAGAATGTTGGGATGACAACCCAGATAATCGGCCATCTATTCAAGAAGTTGTTGAAAGATTAGATGGTATAATTAATCAAAAAACCGAAAATATTGATGAGAAAACTGATCAATCATTTACAAATAAAAATATAGTTTTAAATAGTATTGAAGAATCATCACATGGAGAATTATCTCAGGTTATTCAAGAATTCAATAAAATGAATACAAAAGAAATAATGGGAACTATGACATCAACAAGTAATCAAATTATTAGCCAAAATATTTTACCTGAAAATGATTTAAGTGTAATAGTCAATAATATTACAGAATTTATTTTAGAAGTGCTGAATAATAAGAGAAATAATGATAAGTTAAGACAGAAAGTTATTGATTATTTTAATAATCAAAATATTAATCCACAAGAAATTTATAATTGGCTATTTAATAATCAAAATTATAATTCAAATTCAATTTTTTTACTTGGATTTTTTAATTTTTTTGGAATTGAAACAAGTGAAAATAAAATGATGGCTTTTGATTTATTTATTAATGCTTCTGAACAAGATCATACATTGGCACAATATTTTGTTGGTTTTTGTTATTATTGTGGACGTGGAACTTCACAAAACTATCCATTAGCTTTTAAATATTATGAAAAAGTAGCTAATAAAGATTGTGCAATAGGACAGTTGTATACTGGGAGTTGTTATAGCAATGGTCATGGCATAAATAAAGAACCAAAACTTGCTATTTATTGGTATGAAAAAGCTGCAAACAATGGGAATGTATTGGGCATGTCTAATCTTGGTTATTGTTATAAAATTGGAGAAGGTGTTGAAAAGGATATAGATAAAGCAATTTATTGGTATAAAAAATCTGCAGAACAAGGATATGAACGTGCTCAAAAATACCTAGAAGAATTAATGAAAACCAAGTAATTCATGTAATTTTATTTTAATCTGTAATCAATCTATTTATTAAATCATTTATATTATAAATGTAGTGTACTATACCGACATTTTGAAATGTTATTTTATAACTATGTTAAATTAATTTATGGATAAATTTCAATGGCAAATCAGTATTTTAAAATTAATATCATTATAATTTCTATATTAAATGTTATTTTATGTACTGTATTTGAAATTGGTAAAATCATCATGTTCTAATATTCCCTTTTTTTTTTAAAATAGAGCTTATGTTTTTAAAGTTAGATTATTATTCATTCTTTAAATTAGTAAAACTATCGGAAAATTTATTATAAAGGACGAAATAATTATAATTACAATACTTAGTATATTCGGTTATTGTTTTTTTATTTAATTTACCGGTATTTTCAAAATTGACCAGTAAAATTTAATCCTTTATTAAACTATTTATTTGCACAAATAAGTCAACGAAATTTACGCTATAAAAAAATCGATCATTGATCAGTTCATGTTTAATGCTATCTGACAATATAATCAGACGCATGGTCGTATGGACATATTTTTTTGTCTAGACAGTAAGTTAACAGTGTATGTTAAGAAATATGATGTAATACTTTATGAGAAAAGAATAATCATAAAACAAGCATTCATATGACAAATTATTAAAACACTAAAAGATTTGTTGGTTGCCGATCGTACTAAAATAGAAAAGCTTGATTTGAAATGTATTTATATAATCAGCAAATCAATACCAAAGATGGGGGATCAGCATCTTAAAATGGAAATCACTCAAAAACTAATCTTATGTTAACGTTAAGTTAACGTTAACCTATCATGACATGTCAATCATTTCAAGTCATAACA